TCATAGCCCATAATGAAATAATAGCAAATGAACATAATAGCAAATAAAGCAATGAACTACAGATGAAATCATTAGATAAAAGTTTATATGGAACTTCAATTTCAAGGAAAGGCTGTTACCACCTGAGCTCACTGATCAGTAATAGCATCACTAAAATTGAGACAATGAACTATTGTGGATATCCTGGTGTGATGCCAATACACTTTACTTCCTAGGAAGTTTTCTTGCCCCCAAAATTGAATCTGAGTATAAACAAGCCTCTAGATCCAACCTCAATTTACAGGAAATATGGAAGAGAGAGGAACAAGTTAAATGACACCACGAAGAAGCAGACAAATCCACAAAGTGGGACATTTTACAGGACAACTGACCCAGTTTCTGCAACAAGTCAATGTCAGGGGAAAATGAAAAGGACAGGGAGACTGCCCTAGAATATGAGAGACTTCCAAGCAAGCCTCATGTATAGATTTCATGTATATTCTGAATTGTATTCTGATGTCTTTTAGACAATCAGAGAAATGTTCTGGACTGGGTATTAGCTAATAACAGCACTGGTTGATTTTGTCAGGTGTGAAAATAACACTGCAATAAGTCTAGTTTTGTAGAACTGTATATGGAGAAATATAGGGGTGAAATGACATTAGGTCTGCAGCAGAGGAAAACAGAAAGGGACATATATAAAGCAAATGTGACAGGATCTTGATAATCGTTGAATCTGTATGATGGGATACGGGAGTTCATTGTTCTATTCTTTGCACTTTTAAGTTATCTGAATATTTTCATAACAACAAACGCTTAAGAGACTTTTTTTAAAAAGATCATGCGTGGGAGAATAGTAAAAGGATAAATATTAGTTTCTCTTTTTCTCAATAGCAAATGTAAGACGTGGGTGGAAGAGAAAATCCTCTCGGTGTTTTATTAAAAACACTCTCCCGGGACTTGTTCATTTAAGGAACCACCAAAATTGCCCTCAGAGCGTGGTATGTAGGGCACGCCCCACCAGGGATAGGGCTTCACAGTGCCGAAGAAAAAAAAAATCTCAAATCAGCAGCAAACTAAGCAAGATCGAATATCTGGGAAGGCCTTTTTTTTTTTTTTTTTTTTTAAGTAGGGAATTATTTTTGATCTATTAAAAAGAAAATCCCCGAGACGATAGCTGCAATTTTTGTGAAAAGAGAATTATCTGGGCTAGTTAAACCTCACCCAAAGGCCTTCTTCGCAGTAACTCCCTGAGAGCAGCGTTTGGAGAGACAGTAACTAGGTAATGAGACCTGGGAGTCGCCGCAGAGCCTGGGGTGCCACGGAGCGTAAAGACTCCCGGCCCTGCGGTGCAGCTGCCGCCTCGGCGAGGGGGGGAGACCGGCCTTTTCGGGCGCGGTCACCCGGCCTGATTGCTCTCGCCCCCCCCCCCCCCCCCCGGGCTAGCCCGCAGGGGCCCGACACAGCTAAGTCCCCTGCACCGCCGCTCCCTACTTCGGGCCCTCACCCCAAATTGCCGGCGCGTCAAGCTAACAAGTTTGGCGTCCCCTGACCGGAGGACCTGGGCACCCGCGAATAATGCGAAATTGCGCGCGGTTCTAGGCTCTGTAGCAGGCCTTTATAATCTCTCGCTTAATATAATTCATTCATACTGCTTACCAAAAACGGGGACGGCGGGAAGGAAAAAGAGCTAATGTATGTATGGCCTTTCCAGCCAGAAGTACTTTTAGAGTTTTGATGGCTTCCCTTTCAATCTTTTATATAGGTAGATGTTTTAAAAAATACGTTACTGGGATACCAGAGATAGTCTTCAAAGCGAATTTTTCACTTTACATCATTATTGAGCACTTTTTCCTGTCATCAAACAGCCTAACAAAATACTGCCGATAAAAGTCCTCCAGAGGAATGCATGGCCCGTGTTCTTTAAGCAGTCCCTCATCGTTGCTGGCACTTGGGTAGTTTTCCAGTTCGGGCCGACAGAAACAAACTGCTCAGTCGGATCTTGCCAAACGCCCCTCTCCCGCCACCAGCGCACAAGGAAGTGCCAGAGGAAAGGGTCACGCTTCCTGGGACCGCAGGGCCGGGGCCCGGCGTGCGCCTCCTTCCGGGCTCTGTGACGTCAACCGTCAGCCCCGCCCCCGCGGGCAGAGCCAATCGAAACCCGGGGCAGGTCCCTCCAGAAGCAAGCGCGCGGGCGCGCGGCCCCGGGGAAACGGCGCGATGGACGCGGTCCTTCTGCGCGCCCGGGCTCAGCTCCACCCGCAGCCGCTCGAGGGGTGGCCGCCCGTGAGCTCCGAGGAGGAGCTCTACGAGAGCCTGGATTACTACTACCTGCGCGACTTCCCGGCCTGCGGGGCCGGGCGCAGCAAGGGTCGGACGCGGCGCGAGCGGGAACTGCGCACCAACTGGCCAGTGCCCGGCGGCCACGAGCGCAAGATCGCGCAGAAGCTCCTCAACGGCCAGCGCAAGCGGCGCCAGCGCCAGCTGCAGCCCCGGGCGCGCACTCGGCTCGTCTGAGCGCAGGTGCGTGCGGGCTGCAACCGGCCGGAACCCTGGGAAGCCCCGCCAGCACCGTGGCCGCCCGGGCGCCTCTCGCCTCGGCCCTCTGCGACTGCACGCGGGCAGTGTCGCCCCCTTCCGAGGCTGCTCCGCGTTGGCGAGTCATAGCTGGACCCCCTAAACGCCCAGCTTATCTCTGGGCTGCAGTCAGAATAGTGTAAAACGCTACCTTTTGGATTTTGTAGTTGGGAGAAGAGGCTAGGAAATGAAATATAAGTGAAGAATTTACTTCCAGTGCCTATGCATGGGCTAAAGAGAATAATTTATTTTTTTGTCAGTTTTCTGCAGGATACCCGAAGGCCCTGATAAAAGTATTATCTCTGACTCCAGCTGTAACTGGTCGTAAGGGGGAGAATCCATGTTGGTCAACATAGCTTCTTTTCGACATCGCTTAAGTTTACCGCTTCAGTATCTTTTCCTTACTGATTGTTACTAACATCCAAGTGTCCAAGTGGGTATGCCTTTTTAGGGTTTTTAATTAAAAGCAGTAAGAACGGCATTTTAACTCTTCTGGTGGTTTTTTTTTTTTTTTTTCCAGCTGCTACGGTAACTCGTTTCAAGACCGCAAATGAACAAATAAGTTCATCTTATGGGTAAAGAAGATGAATGGGGGGAACAAAGATAGGAATCTGTACAAGATTTTATAGATGTGGTGTGCAAGTTTAATATTTGCCAGAATAGGAATATTTTCCGTTGTAATAGTGTATATCGAACATTTTATAGGTTCTCTGCAATGTTGATCTCAACAAGCCTTTCAGGTGGGCGCTGCTATCTCCCATTTTGTAGAGGGGATTCTGAGGCAAAGTAGTTTCAAGTCACTTTTCAGAGATCATACAGCTGGTTACAAAGACGACCAGGTATAGCAGATACTCGAAAGCATTCCCTCCTTCCAGCATCACAGTTTTCCTCTATCATATGCAATACTCTGTTCAGAACCACCCACAAACTCCACGTCCAAAGACAAGGGTTGAGCTGTGGCCTAAAGATTATACCCACAATGTCAGTGTCATGGTGGCTGTCCTTTCTCTTCAGCCTGCATTCCATTAGGCCTCTCAGTAGTGTGTCCTTCTGAGAAGAGAAGAGTGCTGTGTACTGGAAGGAGCAACCTGAATTTTAATCCTCACTCTGACTATTCATCGCTGGGACTTTCAGCACACTACTGAGGTAACAACTTTCAAGTTACACCAAGCTTCTGGTTTCTCATTTGTAAAATGGGAATGATACTGGATTACCGTACCAAACTATGGATTATAGATTAAATACATAAATCACCTCAACACAGTTAAGGGCCTGGCACATGGCACATAAGAGGTAATCAATAGCAACTATTTTTAAGTTTACAGAACACAATCCCTCTTCCTCTCTAGTCAAACTGTTATATTCTTCATTTACTTTATGTGCTATAGTAGGGGTCCTGGCGTTGAGGAGTCAAACACCTGTATGAACTTGGGCAAGGTGCTTAAACTCTTAAGTTATCTGTTCCCTTATTTATAAAGTGGGTATAATACTGTACCTATTTCAAGAGTTCTTGTGAGGTGTAAATAAAATAATACATGTAGGGGCGCCTGGGTGGGTCAGTCTTTGGGCGTCCGCCTTCGGCTCAGGTCATGATCCCAGGGTCCTGGGATCGAGCCCCGCTTCGGGCTCCCTGCTCGGTGGGAAGTCTGCTTCTCTCTCTCCCTCTGCTGCTCCCCCCTGTTTGTGCTCTCTCTCTCGGACAAATAAATAAAAATCTTAAAAAGTAATACATGTAAAGCTCTTGGTGCCTGGTATATAATAGGCCCTCACATGATTAGTATACGTGCTGCTGAAGCAAAGCACAGCACTTACATCGTTAGTAATGTTCCCACTGCCACTGTCTTGGCCTTCAGGATTTTTCCTTACTCCTCTCCTGCTGTGTTTCAGAGATACCATGTCCAGATTAATCTTCCTGAAGACCATTTTAAACATAAAAAAACCCCTCAAGGACTGCTCTAACCCTGTAGGATAAAAAGCCTAGATTCCTTACATTGTGTTGGAAATCATCTATTAGATTTTCTTCAAGTTTGTACCACAACTTCCAAAAACACACTCGGTACTTGACACAGATCTTCTGTCCCGTCCTCACCATATTCGATTCTGCTTCTTCATGTGAATCTGTGCTGTCCTACTTAGCATGCCCTTTTCCCCTTTACCATTTTAATCTTTCTAAAATAAATTCCACCTGTACTTATTTTAAGTGCCACTTTCTCTCCGAATCTTTCACCCACGGTGAATTTCCATCCCCCCCCCCTTTTTTT